CATGCTAATCTTCTCTCTGTTCTGATCAGTTTAATATCTGATCCTTAAAAAAAAATAAAAAAATCTTCTCTCTGTGTACCGTTCCAATTTTAACGGATGTCCCGGGGGGGCCAAGTCCCGCTTGGTACCCGACTTCTCAACTTCTGACCGTAGATTACGAAGATCAACCAACGGCCAGAAATGAAGAATCAATCAGCGTAAGTGGGCCTTGGGCCCCCGGGGCCGTGGTCCCATTAGCAAGAGAGCATCCGATTGAGTGCCTGAATCTGGACGTGTTCGAGGACAGGAGCAGGAAATCGAGATCGAACTGCTTTTCTGTATCTCTGCATACAACCTGGCCAGATTCAAGATTTCTATCCGATCCTCTTTGCTAGTGGGACCACGCCCCGGAGGACTTGTTGCAGTTTTTTTTTCACTGGCGAAACTCGAGCGTGTGCAAAGCTGTTGCATTGTAAAAAAAGAAAGAAAAAAAAAAAGAATGGGTTGCGGCTTCTTAGGGGCCTACCGTAGTTGCACCACTCGCCTCCGGCAACATTTAGAATGCATCTGGACGGATGGGCGGTCCAGATGCACTCAACAATCTTGGCGGATGGCGAGTAGTGCAGCTAGGCCCTTATTTCCATCCGCCACAGCATGTGGCGGGGTTCCCGACTTCCAGTGCTTGCTTTTATTTTTTTTATTTTTTTTTATTTTTTGGGGGAGGGGTAGTGAATCCTCCACAAAATGACTTTATCAGGCTGGAGGGTATTGCAGCTTCGAGGCTGAAGATCTCACGCGGACAAGTTGGGGGACAAGCCTTTTCTTTCTTTTTTTCAATTAAAAAAAAAGACTGCTCTCATTTTATTACCACACAAAAGGACGACGCACTCTTCAAATTTTCTGCTGAAAATAAAAATAAAAAATAAAAATCTGCTGAACCTAAATCGTGGACAGTGACTCTGCGACTCCCTTCCCCATTTTATTATTATTATTATTATTATTATTATTATTATTATTATTATTATTATTATTATATTTTTTTTTAAGTCCGGAGTTTTTCATCCGCTAATTATAAATTTCTAGACACTCTTCTGCAGCGGATTGTGGCGGATGGCCAGGGGTGAGGTCCCACTAGCAAAGAGGGTTGGGATAAATATCCTGAATCTGGACGTGTTTTAAGCAGAGATCCGGAAAAGCAGTTCAATCTCGGCATTCTGCACCTCTCCACAAACGAGTCCAGATTCAGGTGTTCAATCCAATCCTCTTTGCTAGTGGGACCTCGCCCCAGTAGTAGTCCCAATTGGCCCATATCCCCCAACTACGTGGTTTCTGACGGCTGCCAGCCCCGGGACAAGGTCCCACTTGCGGAAATTAGGAAATTTGGGCCGTTGATCTTTGCTATCTACGGTCAGTATCTCTTAATTCGTGCAAGTGGGACCTTAGCCCCCGGCTATGACAGGCACAAAATGTCTATTGGACATCAGTTAACAAAAAAAAAAAAAAAAAAAAAAAAATCGAAATGGGGAAAAAAAGGGAACGAAAAATACAAAGAAGATTAGTTGGCATGGAAATAGACGAAAATTACAAAGAAGAGAGAAAAAAAAGTCAGCATTTTTATTTTATTATTAATTGATTTTGTATATTATTATCAGTTATTTATTATTTTATTAAAGAAAAAAATAATTAGCATGGCGGGGTCTGTTTGTCAACATTTACATCTGTGTGTACCATCCAGCCACATGGGCTGGGTGGAGGTACACACGACTTTTTCGTTTGAATTTTTAGTCTTTTTTTTTTTTTTTCCCCCCTTTAAACGCCTTTCTGATATAAATTTCCTATTGCTTAAAAAAAAAAATAAAAAAAAATCAGACCACGTCCTGATTTTTGCGTGTGATTGTTGAATGGGCAGAGGCTTTGCCATGCTAATCTTCGCTCTGAATGATTCCAATTTTCACTTTTTAAAAATTTTTATTTAAAAAAAAAAAAAAAAACCTTTGGTCCAAAAACCGAGTTTTTACTGTGAACTTCTGGCTGCCCGTCTTTCAGGTTCTCGGGAGCGAGGTCCCACTACTAGCATAGAGGATTGGGTTAAACGCCCGAATCTGGATGGCTTCTAAGCAAAGATGCAGAAAAGGAGATGCATCGCGTTTTTCTGCACATCTCTACAAACGTGTCCAGATTCAGGCGTCAAATCCAATTGTCTTTGCTTTTGGCACCTTGGCGGGGCTGTTTTATTTTTATTTTATATATTATATATATGTGTGTGTACATATGATATATATAGATAAATGAGTCGGTGAAACTCAGACGACGAAACAGTTTGTCACAGCCCCTCGTTTGTTGTCCTCTTCTCCCTCTCTGCCTACGGTTTATATATATATATTTCTTGTTGGGGCTGTTTTCTGCTCTGTGAGAGACGTGAAAACCTCATCGGCGTTCATAGCCGCCAAAAGCAATCGCATTTGAATTCCTGCCGCCAAAACCAAACCTGATTGCCGCCAAAACCGAGCACGCATTACGAATTTGAATTCTTGCCGCCAAAACCAAAAAGCCGATTGGCGCCAAACCCTGCCCGCCACAAATTTTTATTTCAGAAATTTCAGTTCTTGCCGCCAAGACCTGCCATCCACAGTTTTTTTTTTGGTATTTTTTTAATAACCGGCTTTCGTCGCCGTTGGCGCCAAAGCCAAAACAGATTAAAAAAATAAGTAAAACGGATTAATTGATCAAGGACATGAGTGGACAGAATCTGACAATTATCATTTTTTTTTTTCTTTCTTTTAATTCACTTCTTTACACTTTTGTATGCTAACGAGGCAGGTATCGTGAGTGGTCTTAATTAGTATGCAATTTACAAATATCAATAACCTGGGACTTTATATCAATTTTCTGATTCTTTTTTTTTTTTTAATTTAATAAACAACCCTTTTTTTTTTTAAAAGGTAGTTTAATTCTCTGATTCTGATCTCGCCTGGTCTGACTAATCAATGATGATGTGCCACGTGGGAAAAGTTGATGATTACCAAGAATCCCATCAAAAAATTTGATCAATCAGAAGTGACTGATTTGTGGCCATCCTGTGTGTGATCTGACAACGGGAGGGCTTTAATCCACCGTGTTATGGGTCCCTATTTTTTCTGGATCTTCGACGGTCTAATTAGTAATCAGTCTATCTTAAAAAAAAAAGAAAAAAAAAGGCATCCTGTGTGTGATCTGATGAGTAGAGGGCGTTCGTTGATCCACGGTCTGAGGTCCGTGTGTCTTTTGGACAGTCTAATTAGGAATCAATCTGGCGGTCTAATTAGTAATCTTTTTTTTCTTTTTCTTTTTTTTTCTTTTTTTTTTTAGGCATCATGCGTGTGATCTGATGACTAGACGGCGTTAATCCACCGTCCGAGGCCCCTATTTTTTTTTTGGATCTTGGAGTGTCTAATTAGTAATCGATCTGACGGTCAATAGGAAATAATAAAATATTCATTTTACAATAGATGAATGAGATTAAATTCGGAGAAAGAAAAAAGAATTAAACAATTCTTCATTAATTCAATAAATCAAAAGGATAATGAAAAATTAAAGAAAAAAAATCATGAATTATACTTATAAAAAAATATAATTTATCAGATTCTATCTAATAATTACGACAATCTATTTTACAAGATACAATCTTTTTTTTTTTTTTTTTTTTTTGGGCATCCTTTGTGTGATCTGATGAGTAGATGGCGTTGATCCACGGTATGAGGTCTCCATTTCTTTTCGACAGTCTAATTAGGAATCAATCTGACGGTCTAATTAGTAATCAGTCTATCTTTGGTAAAAAAAAAAAAAAAAGGCATCCTGTGTGTGATCTGATGAGTAGAGGGCGTTGATCCACGGTCTGAGGTCTCTATTTCTTTTGGACAGTCTAATTAGGAATCAAATCCGAGGTCTAATTAGTTATCAATCTATCTTTTTTTTTTTGGGGTTGGGGGGGGGGGGGGGGGGCGCATCCTGTGTGTGATCTGATGACTACCGGGGCGACGATCCACGGTCTGACGTCTCTCTGTCTTTTTGGATCTTGGACGGTCTAATCAGTAATCAATATCCCTTTTTTTTTTTTTTTTTTTTGGAAAATCAGCACATGGGGAGAGCGTTTGATCGTGTATTGTGATCGGATGATTGGATGTTGATCAACGGTTTTTTTTTTTTTTTTACCGTCTAATCTGATTTTATGAATAGTCTATTGACTATTAATTAATCAGTGTGCGACGTGGGATGAACCGTCCAATGACTGTGATGTGATAATTGCACATTGATCAACGATCGTTCTGATTCCTTTTTTTTTTTTTTTTAATTCCAATTTTGAATCGTCTAGTTAATTAATTAAAATGTGTCACACACAAAGAAAAGCAGATCAATCGCGATTTCCTGCACCTAGCCACATTAATGTCCAGATGAGTCAACGTGAGATATGATGACAGTACGTCGTCGATCGAGAGCTTCATTCTGATTTTATTTTTTGTTTTCCTTTCCATCCGAGGCTACTTTGGCTCGCCCGGTCGTGCAGCACGGCCGTGCACCCCGGGCAAGTCGCCCGGGGCTCACCTGCACGGGATGCAGGCAAAAATCAGCCCTTTATTATTTTATTATTATTATTTTTTTCGGGTGGAGGTTTTCTGCGCATGGCCGGAGGAGCCCAAATCCGGGCTCTCCTTTATTCTTTCGAGAATTGGCTGTCATGTGGGGGGGAAAGGGTTGTATAAATTTCGTTTTTGTGGGGCTAAAGGGGGTTTAAAGGGGGGTTCCGCAGTCTGATTTTGTTGTTTTCTTTTGAATCTTCGATTCTGTGAGGACCCGCATGTGGAGGGGTTACTAATCTTGGATCGATCCTCTGATTAATCGTGGATTGTCTAATTAATCGTAGATCGTCTGATTAATCGTAGATGCTCTGATTAATCGTAGATGGTCTGATTAATTAATTAATCAATGTCCCGCGCGGGAAGAACGGTTTATCCTGTGTGATGTGACGACTGTACGTTGATCAGCGGTCTAATTCTTATCTTAAAAATCGTTTAATTAGTAATTAAACATTGTCTCGGATGACAAGAACGGTTGATGTCATCCCTAGATTGCCTGCCGGCTCAATCCAGTTGCCTGTCGTAGGGTCATTAATTACACCTGCTAAAAAATAAAAAAATAAAATCTGCTGCTGCTGCTGCTGCTGACGTGGCAAAAGAGGGATCGCCGGGTGCTATTGGCTATTGGGTATTGGCTATTCTCGTCTCCCACCGTTAGCAGATGATGGCATTACCGGAGTGGGAATCGGCGATTTGCCTGTCTGGCCTTCGTGCTATGGGCTAACGAGGGAGGCAAATCGGGCTATTGGATTACGCGATAGGCAGATATAGCCATCTTCTAACGGTGGGAGAGGAGAGAATAGCCATCTGGCTATCGTTAGCAGATAGCATTGCCGGAGCGGCCAGCCTATTTGGCTATTGGCTAACGCGAGAGAGGCTGGTGGTGGGGGGGGGGGGGGGGGGTTTGGGAGGGGAGGGTTTTTTTTTTTTTTTTTTTTTTCCGATCTGCCGCCAGTGTATTGCTGACTGAAGCAGTGATCGGCAGTGTCTGTCATCAGTCCTGACTGTCGGGATCTGAGCCCGGTCGGATCACGGTCGGGATCGCGATCGGGTCCGGGACGGGGCTGCTTGGGAGCCAAGAATGCACCTGCGCTTATCGATGGAAGTGGTGGAGGATCGCAATGTCATCGGTACTGACTGTCGGGGCCTGGGTCGGGGTCGGGGTCGGGGCTGTTTGATGATGAATGATGTGTGCAGTCTACGGTGAGCGCTTGACGACCCGAGATCTCGACCGGTCTGGTCTGGAAGCTGGAGATGGCAGGAGAGACGTCGTCGTGCCGTCTGTTCCTGCTGCTGCTGCTGGTGGGGCCGCAGGTTCCCTCTCCTCCGTTTGTTGTATTGACACGTCATCGCCGAGCTTGATGACGTGGTGGGCGGCGGGGAAAGGCTCACGCAGAGAGCTGTCGCGGCTTCGATGGTCGGGATGCACTTCCGGTGACAGGAGCTTCAGCATCGCTGCGGTTGGGATCGGGATGGAACTCAGACCAGCCAACATACTTAAAAAGGGGTTCACTTTTGATTCGGAGGGGGGTAGCGATTTGGAGAGATGTAGGGGGAGCAGGGTCGGTCTCATGACTGCGCCTGCTTCATCTGCTACCGAAGCTGCTGCCGACGCTAAAATAACCCCCTCCGTAACAAAACTACACCCCTCCGTAACTAAATTAACCCCCTCCGAAGCACAAGTAAACCCCTCCGTAACAAAATTAAACCCCTCCGAAGAGATCGACGAACTAGGAGCGGAGGAGAATCCATCAGGACTTGAGAAGCCTGTGTCTGCTAGCCAGGTGACGTGGACATCTGCGGGAGTGAAATCAGCGGCAATGATTCTTCAACCGAGGGTGGTCCTGTTCGATGGAACTTGTGTTCTTTGCAACGCTGGTAAGACATTCCCCCTGGCCCTTTTTCCGTCGCTGCTATCTCTCTCCCTCTCCCTCTCCCTCTCCCTCTCTTCCCTCCTCCTCCTCTTCCTTCTGGAGTGAAATCCGCGGATTTGATTCTTCAGCCTCGACTCATTCTGTTTGCCGGCACTTGCGTACTTTCAACTTTTGTGAGACATCCTCCCTCCCCCAACCTGTCTCTTATACACATCTAGATGTGTATAAGAGACAGGCCAAGATGTGGCATTGGCACGGTTCGGTAGGCCGTTCACAAAGCAAATGTTGTCTAGAGAAGATTAGCACGACCCCTACACAAGGATGACACATATAAATCGAGAGTTGAACTTACTTTTCACTTTTTGTGAATGCGTAGGGTTC